CTGTATACATGTCTGAGAAAAAATAACCGGGTTGTGATCAGGAACTCAGGAACCCAATGCCCAAGATGTCTAGTTCTATCGACGTCTTGCGGCTTGATCAGTTTCTTTCACCCATCTGTTGATGGAAGATATGCGACTCCCAAAACAAACAGCAGGATTGTATCCTTCCACATTACATCAAGAATCATCGAAAGTGATGAGAGGTGTAAAAGTTCTATGGCGCATAGGCTTGCTTACAAGAGAGGTGGATCAGTTCCTTTACTGAGGAAAAGCAACTACCCAACTACCTTCATATCACCAGAAGATAGTGACTAAGAGCAAGGAAACCGGAGAACTCAAACCGAAACCCTATGGCATTGGTTCTCCTTCCTCACGAAGCATCTGCTCAAATCCTGTTCGTTCACAGAACCGTCTCCCCCGTCCGCCTGGCCAAGCGATCGCACAGACCTGGCGGCGTGGCCCCTCGGCATCGGGATGGTCATTCTTCTGCACCACCCAGTTTGGGTGGGGTGTTCGAAGACCAGACCACTACCCCCATCAGGTATGTCTCGTGGTGGGCTCAGGTGCCAATCACCACCCGAACTTCCGTGCTGCTTCGCACCGTGCGGACCGTGCTGCCAGGGTCGACTGGCACTGTGTCTCACACCGTCGGACCTGTCCAGACCATCTGCCGTAACGAACGAACTACCCGAAGTGGTTGCACCTCATAACAAGCGTTCTGAAACACCCAAAGCGACCTGGAACGATGGACTCTTCAAGCACAGTTTTCGATCTAATCCGATACAGGGGGGTTGGTAGTTATTGTGTAGAGATGGGAAAGCAACAAACAAATGTTGCTACGTTGCTGAATCACATACTATATAATATATAATATATTGTCATACAGTTATAAATTAGTTATAAATTATCATATACTACTTCCGCTTCTTCTGGGGCTCGGCTGTGATGCCAATCCCCGTAAGCGAAACAGAAGTTTAAAGCATGGCAGCTCCAGTTGTCGGATCCCCACATCAGTCCTGTTTGGAGCGAAGACCACGATTCAATGCACGATCAATGCGTGTGTCGTAGGTGTGTGGGCCCTCCCAGTGGCTCCCCGGATCTATCCATGTCCGCCCCATCGGCGGACAACCGGCATTTCCGGCCCACCTACATGAGCTGAAGGCCAACTCCTGAAGCTAGCGTTCGACGCATCGACAATGCATCGACTGTGCCATTTCTGTGTCGATGCTGTGTCTCTGTGTGTTTATTGTTTTGAAATGTGCAGCCAAGCCGGAGAGGAAAACCTCTCCCCCGTTTCAGAGAGCCAGATGCAATGGAAGAAAAGGGTTCTTGAATGCACCCATCACATCCCGCGACGCGACCTTTTGCTCAAACTCTTCATTCTTTAGGTAACTGACCCCGGATGGGACATCCGTGGCTCCGTTTGGGCTTCGAACTGGTGATCACCGTGGATACAAACAGCGGTTGTATGAGGTTGTATGCGTAACCGTGGTTCTGTTCCAGGAAGAATCGGCCGCAACGGCAAACCAGTGTGTATCTTAACCATTAATATAGGGAGACCCTCTGGCCTCATGGGTCGACTGGTCTATTTCCCCTCCTCGGTGCGGAGGTCGGTGCAGCAGTTCTTGCAGAGGTCTTCCGATTTGAAGACACGCCCGACCAGTCTCCCATGAAATGCTCGAAAACCATGGCCCAAAGGAAGCATACACAAGCCCGAAGTCATACAGCAGCCTTGGTCGCATCGAAAGGATCGTGAGCATCTTCAACACACCGACTCACTTTACTGGATCCTCTCACATCTTCATGATCCGGAAGCGGGTCACGAGGCGTCTGAGCAAGCAGAGGTCGGGTCGGGTCTTGGGCTCAGCAAGGAATTCCGAGACCAAGTCCCAAAGGTCCATCACCAAACCGTCCAAGTCTAGAAAGGGAGACTTGGAGTAATGCCCCGAAATCGGGCAGGCAGGAGTTCAATGGAATTCGAGCTCCGTGAACCACGGGTGGTGTAGGAGTGTGTCCACCCCTTTCCATCAGGGCAACTACAAACAGCCCACTTCCCAATTCCCAGAAGAGAAGAGAAGACTTGTATTTGTTCTATCTTCCTCTGCCCCTGGAAAAAGTGCAACTATCAACAAGAGTCCAGCCCAAAAAACAGAACCATAAAACTATCTCATCCTCTCCTCTCATGGCAACGACCGCCTCCTCCTCAGCTCCCCCCAGCAGTCCTGTACAAACCCAAGAGTCACCAAGCCAAAACCTTGGCCATGTCGAGCCGATGTGAACCCACCGAGGTCCGGAACGGTTCACTTCTCCAGGTCCGAAGGTCGCAGGGTCGGTCGGACAGGGCGGAACTGGTCAGGTTGAAGAGTAGGCCCTCGCCCTCAAGGCGCGGACCACGAAGGCTTTTGGTAGGAACTCTTCCGAAACCAAGTGATCAGCAATCTCTCGGCAGGCCAGTTCTTCTAGAACTGACACACTGTAACAATCTACAGCTCAAGTGTAAGAGAACATTTAGACCTATAGATATGTGCAGGTGGATTGGGACTTCCCTATAGTATCCAGGAAAATTCATACCATAGTGGATTGAGAGTAGATGGCACAATCCCAATTTTGGTGGTTTATATAGACCCCCATCTAAAAGTTATCTTGGCGGTTGTGTCATCTAATCTGAAACCACTGTACAAATGAGTCCCAACCCAGGTCCGCCAATGATTTCAGAGCGCCTACCGTTCAACATTGCTTTGATCTGCTTGAAACCACAACCCCAGAACCCTCCCAACAATTATGAAAGTGTCCGTCCTGGCCCCTTGGAAGACGTGGTGCCTCTACCTAGGGGGGATTGTCCATGATTGTTGGAGAGAATAAGTAAGCCACCCTCCTCTTGTTTCACCTGAACCCATTGGTCACATGATGGTCACGTGACCATTCCATCCGACCATCCGACCATCAGATGTGGCGGCTCGGCGTCCAAAGAATCAACGGTGAACATGATCATGAGTTGCTGACCTCAGACCTCCGCCCAGACCTCAGATCCACCTGCACCTTGCACCTTCCTGGAGCCTTCTTTCCGCTTCAACACCTCCGTGATCCCTTTCCACTCTCCACACGGATCATCTCTCCAAGGCGCAAAGGCCGACGGCCGGGAACCTGCACCAGGCCGCGGCTCGGGGCGACGCGGCTCGGTGCGTCGAGGTCGCGTGTACAGCGTCGAAGCGGTGCGGATGCGTTGCTTCGACCCAGAGAGGTGTACAGGAAGTGCAGTGTGGACATGCTAAAACATCTCTCAAGGACGTTCTAGCGTCTTGGTGGTGCCACAAAACTGGGGTACTTCATTGAAGCATCCCCAAGGGCTCTAACCACACGGGTGTGATATTGAAATGGGGACACCTCCCAGTTCGACCCCCTGGAAGAAGGGAAAGAGACCAGTCTACCCAGTCAGGGCTCCCTATCGTATAAAATACACCACCACATGCTGAGAAGGTAAGGACCAAGACCCCTACCACCCACCCCAACCACCGAACCTGAGGATGTGGGACAGGAGCCTTAGGGATTCAGGGATCATACACTCCCTAAAATCATCGTTCCATGGGATGGGAAAATGGCCTCCGATTTCGGAGGATGTTCCGAAGACGATGTCCAGGTGGTTTTGGACTCCACTTCCACCACGGATGATGTTCAGGGACTGTATCCTTTTCTGTTTCTTGCCCTTGGATCGATCCGACCCCGACCGCCTCCGCCTCACCATGACCACGGCCGGACGCTTCGGCGGCCTGGATGGTGTTCCAACGCGGACGGGTCGGTCTGTTGAAGAGTCTGGGTGGCGATGCTGCTGGATCTACTCTTTCTAGTACAGTACCAGGGGTGTGACCTTGTGTTTGAATGTCTTTAAGAAGGTGTCCTAAGAACCGTCAAGCGATGCGCCTCTTTTCCAACATAGATTGCTCATCTCCACTTGGGCTTTCTCTAGTCATTGCTGGCTTCAAAGAAGATCCCCAAATGAACGGCCTGGTTTCCACTACTAACCTGGCACGAACGTCCTTGCTTCCAGACCGGCACCGGACATGTTCTTGGCACCTTCAACAACACAGACAACACTCGTTCATCTGTGAACCAATGGAGGATAGACAAAAGCGCTGGAAGAACAAGATCAACTTTGGAAGCAATGTCACAATAAATGTGTCAAACTGCATGCAAGGCACAAGGAGACCCAAAGGCAAGAAACCGTCCGCTGAGAATCTCCAAAATACTGGTACATGACCGCAAGTATTCCTGCCCACCTTGACATGCTTCGAAAATGGCCTGCTCACTGGGTTGTGATGGGTTCTGCCAGCGCTTGCTAAGTACGAAACACCACAGAGTCTCAAGGTGCGCGTCAAGGTCCACGATTGGATTCAAATCTCACACAATGGTCTCTAGACGTCCATGTCTCCCCAAACGAACTCGGGGGGTTTACAAGACCCAGCACGTTTGCGCAAACAGGTCATCCCCTTGCAACAGGTGCCTTGTCCTCACAAGCAAAATTAGTGCAATGTAGACGGTTGATTTGTTAAAAGAACCTACCAGAATGGGTTTATATCTCCATATGGGTGGTTTTCATCATCAAGACTCTACATGACCGCGATTTGGAATCCAGAACTTTCGGGTAGCTCACGATGCAAACTGCCATGGGGCCCTAAAGGTTGGATAGGGCCATCGCTCTCGGCGGTGCATTTTGGACAAAAGAACCAGAAATGCTGTTTGCACCGCATCTTCCCTGTCTGAAAACATGCAGATCTTTAAAAAATGACACCGATAAACCACGGAAAAAAAAGACATCCCGCCTGCGTTGTGGGACTCTGGACCATCCGAAAAGGAGCCAAGAGGTGCCAGCGAAAGCGAGGAAAAGCCCCGGGGTTGACAGGATTGGATGAAGTTTCAAAAAGGTTCCACAGGGGAATATGTTGGAACGAAGGAATTCTATGTGCAAGTTCTTTGGCACAACCGTCAAAAACCTGACTCTGCTTTTACATGGCTGTAGGTCGCCCTCGGCGTGCTGGTCTAAAAAGAATGCTGCATGCTAAATTCCTCAACACTTGGCTTCCCTCCCTTAGCCCTACCACCTCGCGTATGCGCAACCTGCACTCGCGCAATCGCGCAACGCGCAACGCGCGCACGCGGTGGGGGGGAGCTGAGCACAACCACAGCGTGTCCTCCCAGAGCTGTGTCGCTCGCTGCTGCTCGTTGAAGCAAACCATCTGAGAATACCTGAGCCAAAAGCGAGCCGGCGGCGCGAGCTTCGGCGGCGCGAGCTTCGGCGGCGCGAGCTTCGGCATCTTCGCGCTTTCGTAGCTCAGGTTCCAAAGCCCGAGTTGCTCAGCCAACTTCTCGAAGCATAAGATCGCAAAGCTCCAATATCTGGACCTGGGTCCACAGAACCCGAGGCGCTGCTCCGAGATTCCCGTGGCGCCAGCTCTGCCCCCATGCGGGTTTTCTCTCTCTCTCTCTCTTCGGTGCCTCCACCACCGGCGAAGCTTGCAGCGGCCGCCGGGGGTGGGAGAGTCCCGTGGCCCGGAGGAACCCCTCGTTCTCTCGGCTTTCGCGGGCGAGGCTTTTCTGCTGGTGCAAACCAGCACCAGAAAGAACGAGACAAAAGGAGATCCCTGGTCACATGCCAATGGCTCAGAGCCGAGAACTTCTTTTCCATCCCAGGGTGTCGTGAGCTGCGGAGTGTGGATGTGGTTCCATTGTCTAATTCTCGATTAAAAAGATACAGTACATACAAAACCGTTTAAACTGCTCTGCACTAGTCACTAGCCGTACTAGCCCGGCCCTAAGCCAGGCCTGCATCTTCTTGTTCTCCTGTTTCTTCTTCTTCCAGGTCCACTCTGAGTTCCCAAACCACGCTTTCTGAAACTGATTGATGCTCTCCATCAGCTCAATCTGCCAGCCAAAAGGAGTTCACGAAGAGAGAGAGAGAGAGAGGGAAAAAAAGAAACAAGAAAAGAGAATCTGCTTGACTCACACACAAAGTTATCAATTGGATGGATGGAATTGGGCGGTGCTTTGCGATTTCCTTCAACGAAGAAACCACGACGCTCGACGTTCGACGCTCGACGGAACGAGCGTCGGTCGCTCGACGTTCACCGCCTGGGGGTCTTCGCCGGCCTCGCAGGGCCGAGTGGAAAAAGGAGACCCGAAGGCCTGAAGGGGTCCACGTCCCAGGTCGTTGGGGATTCAGACCTGGTGAGTACCTCTGGTACCATCCCGAAAGTCAAGAACGGTGGGGCGAGGAAGAGGTTGGGGAGGTCAACATGAATTCGTTTTCATTGCCAGATTCGTGAAAGAAGAGAAAAAGAAGTCCAGGTAAGCAGAGCCAACACCGATGGGAGTCCAGTCATGTCAAGCACCGTTGGCTCCCTTTGCTGGTACAAGAGGTCCCAGGATTCCCAGGCACCACGTGTTTGCTGCAGGGAGGCTACAAACAACCAACCTTTGACCCAAAGGCGCCGTGTTTGGGGGTAGTTTCTGATTGAATCTTTCATATACTGTATCCTTCCAACCCAAATGTTGAGCTGAAATCACCACTGCCCGGTTTCCTGGCCAGCCGTCTTCCAACACACAAAAAACACATCCATCATCCAAACCTCTTTCAGAACATGCAGGAAGTTCATTGTCACTCCTAACAAACAACGAAAAAAGCACGTACGCAAGTCTTGCGCCCCCCCCATTCTCCGGCAGATTGGGGGCACCTCTTTGGGCAGGCTGAAGCTTCCATGCAGCTTGGAGAGGACCTGCCCCGTGCGGCCACGACCGGCCGCGGCGCCTTCGCCGGCCACGGCCACGTCCGGTCCGGCGGGTCGCGAGGGTGAACCGGAAGGGCACCGGTGGAGGGCAGCTTCTTTTGTTGGGAACGGGGTGAGAAAAACATGGAGGTGTGGGTTTGGAGAGGAAGTCACCCAACGCGATCGATTGGTAGACCAGTTGGTCGAAATCTGGCAGGAAGACCCTTGGAACTGAAGCAGACGTTCTCTGTCAACAACTTCAACTGGTTCAAAACCACAATTGGGAAAGCCACAACTTCAAAACGGAAGTTCCAAGTTGAAGCCACAATTTGAAGTTGAGCATTGTGGCTCAAGGAACTTCAAAACCACAATTTTGCCAGTGTGTAGATTGGAGAAGCCGAATGCCACATCGTTGGGGACTTGACCAACCAGGACTTGGACTCGTTGGGGATTTGACATGTTTCCAAGACATCGAGGACATGCGATGATGTGGAGATTTACATGGTTTTCCTCCAGGTCTCACTGCTCTATCTGGGAGATGTTGAACATCAAAATACAAGATTCGATATACTGTATGGTTCCACGTGTACAGGAATCAGAAGGACGCCAATCACCCAGCCCCTGGAGCGTAGGATTTAAAGGTCAAAAAAAACACCATAGCTCCGCTCTAGCTCGCATTCTCATCCATGTCGACTGTTGATTCATCAACCACCCTACCAAAATGGGTGTCTATTTGAACAAGGAGACCTCCAACCGGTGTTGGTTGATTTCCCTTCTTCCGGGTCTTTTGTAGGTCTTCCTATTTCATACTCACAAATGGTTTTACCTACATCTGGGGGGGTCCTGTCAATCAGTTTACATGACCTGCCTAAGCCCCAGGGCCTCCAAGGTGCAAATGCCCAGCGCAAAGGCGTCTAAGCCCTGGGAATACCTCGACGCGTGAGACCCGTTTGCGCGGCTTTTTGTAGCAACCAACTGGGTTAGCAAGTAGGGAGATGCATGCTGTTTTGGAGGGGTCACGAAGAAAGCCAAACTGCTAGTTTTGGGGGTTTGATCTCTGAAAGGGAGCCAGCTATTCCACCACTGTGAGAGGCAGGAGACGACCAGGTCTGCACAAAACGCCGCACAGCACGGCACACGGGTTTCGCAGCTTTACCTCTCTTGGAAAGCTCAAGGTCTGCTACTTCGACCCAGAGGTCTGCGTGTAGCAAAGGTGTCTGCTGACCGGTCTTCTTTTGTTTTGAGCCACACCCAAGTCTCATGCAAAGAATGGTCGTGCCAATGGACAAAGCAAACATGAAGTGGGGTGGTAGCCTGGTTTCAGATTGGCTTTGAACAATGTGTCCACCTGATCGCAGACCTTGGTTTGACCACCATCCAAATATGATGGTCATTGATTTGAGGGGCCTTTCTTCGTCCTCTCCACATGCGGCATCGTCCTTCGACGGCGCACTGCTGTTGTAAGCCGTCGCTCATGGCCTCGGCGATGGTGGGAAGGACCGACGAATCGGCATCGGCATCGGGTTCGGACCAACCGATGAACCGGTCGGACCGGTACCGACCGGGCGGCGCGGTCCGCACCGTTTCTTCGGACTTCACCCGCCGTGGAACCACGCGGGGAAACCGCAGGCATAACGAGATCCGGTCGCGGTGGGTGAGTGGGTTGTTGGTTTAGGCGGACATCTCACAAGTGCTTCGCCTGGTCTCACAAGGGTATCCCCCAGAAGTCTAGTTCAACCATTAAAGGAAATTCCTGAACTCGGATCACCTAAAGACCATCTAAAAAATAGTCGACTGGACTCTCAGGGTATCGACATGATGTCCCACCCCGCGATTCTTTAAGCCAGGATGGAATTCAAGGAACGGGGCGCGAAAGACCAGCCATACGATTCCATCTCCACATGTCTTGAGAGGGTACGTACAGTACTGCAAGTCAGCAGCTGTTCTAAACTTCGCTCATGGCCTTTCTCTTCTTGGAGGGACTGAAGAAAGTAGCAACAATCCAAGTCAAATGATCCAAGCAAAACACAGGGAACCACCATGGCACCGACTACAAGCTCTACAGAGAAGTTGCAATACACATCGGATTGTGTGTAGAACAAGGTCAAATTCTCCCAAAAAACCTCAACCTCAAGACCGGATTTCTCCTCACCCACTTGCTTGCTCCGCACCGAAAAGTCCCCCCCAACCACCTCCCGACCTCGGCCCCCACAGCTCCGACCAGCAGTGGCGGTGCTTCCCGAGCAGGTTTCGGCGCGCGGGTGCGGGCCAGGCCACGTGCGGTCCATGTAGGAAGCGCACCCAGGAAGCTGGACCCCAATACCTGCCCCCGCGGTTGCTTTGGCCATGAAACATTGAAGGCCCAGGGACCCCACCGCATTGGGACCCCACCGCGTGGTCCACGTGCTGTCCAGAGACAGAACTACGCTTAGCGTGGCCATGTGCATACATTCCCATGTAGACGTCAGCTAAGCTTGTTCTACCAAGAACTGTCCAAAGGAAGTGACAATGGCCATTCTTGGAGGAAAACCCGATGGTACAGAAGTTCTGCCGCGCAATGGAAACGGTTGCAGACCCCCGGGTTTTCTCCAAAAGGGGAACGCCCACCCGAAGACGACGTTCCTTGACGAACCAGCAGGCAGAACTTTCCGCTTCCAGAGGTCTACCAGCCACAAGACTTGAAGCAACCCAGAAATCTGCTCGACGGACATCTCTCATGCTCCTTTAACACGATCCCTCTTCGACACTTTTCGCTCAGGTCGCACCTGGCATCCCCCGTGGGGTTCTCCACACTCCAAGAGCCCTGGTGAGGCACGGCGAGGCTGGGTGCGGCCTTTCACCCAAGGAGAGAAGGGATGACCCGCGATTTCGTGCTTCGAATGTGCAAGGGTAGAACCATGTTGAAGCTTCAAGCCCTGGAACATCCGCTGCGAATCCACTTTGGGCCATGGATTTTTTTGAATTTGGGCAAGTGTGAAAGCTAGCAGATTCCATTGAGCAGCACATATGTTGACTTCAGACCATGTATCAAAGGGAGTTCAGCTCATGTGGGGGACAGGTTGTGAACAACGCCCGATCAGCCCACCACTTGTCGCAACCGGTCAACCGGTCGGTCTCGTGGTGATCCACATGCCTTGGGGCAGGATCCAACAATTGGCTTGATGGGGCATGGCGGATCCGGTCTCCTCCCCTCGCCTTTTTGTTGGGATCGAAAGAAGTGGACTCTCCATTTTGGGGGGCAGTAGTTGCTGCCACACACACACACACACCACAGGTGGCCAAAGAAAGCCAGAAAGCTAAAAAAAGTCTTGAGAAACCTGGTGGTTGATGGCGAAATCCACGAGGACACTCTTTTGGTTCCTACTTCAACCAATCTTCGTCCTCAGGTTGACCAAGAAGTAGGTGCGCAGATCCAGTGGCCCAGAAAAGGAGGAGGGAGTCCCGGACTCTCCGCATCACCTCCCTCCCGGCTGTTCAACACCAAATAGCAGATGATTGCCCTCTGCTGTGCCACAGTCCTTTCACCAAAGACTGACACTCTATTCGAACTGTGTCTCTGTTTCGGGACATTCCGACCATACCTTCCACACCCCAAAATGCCCTCAGCTCGGCGTTCTCTCAGAGTAAGGCGTGTTTTAAGAACAGAAAGCGTCTGTCTACCGACCTCTCCAGGAACTCTCCTCTCCGTCGGCCTCACCGGTGGTGGCACTCCAGGTGTGAAAGTCCAGGGAGGAGCCGAAATCCAAGAGGGTGAACTGGCGAGCTCGCGACGGATCCACCGGAGAAAGTGCCGGACTCATGAGAGCAAGCACGAAAACGGGATCACGCTCGTGCGATATGACGCTCGAAAAATCGTTCTGTAGCAGCTCCCAATGGGTTTGATCTGGCGATCTTCCCAATGGATATGCGTGACGGCGTGACGTCACCGAGGTCGTCGCGAAAATGGATCGGCTCATCTGGTGATTCACAGGAGTGAGCGTGACAAATCTGCTCATTCACTTGTTTTTTGCACAAGTTCCTTTACTTGTTCCCTTGTTCCCTGGAACATGTAATGTCCATTAATGTCGCATGTGTGCAACATGTTGAGATGAACTGGCTTGTCATGGGTGTTAGTCGATTCGCAAACAGGTCCATTGCGAAGGAAGAAATAGAAAAGCAAAAGCTGTAGTGGAATCCTTTTCTACCACGTATCTATTGGGGGCCTCTATATACCCACACAACTCCAGCATCATCAAGTAACTTGTCTCCAGCATCATCTACTCTCTGGAAATCATTGTGGGACAGATCGAAGATGATCCCCTTCACCATGCCATCCCGCTGATGCCATGGTCCGAACACCGTGCATCACCAGCCTCCAAGCTGGATGTATCCTTTGGGGCAGCGTGACCGCCCTGTGCACGAACGATAGCAGCGGAACCAACGGCCGCCGCCGGTCGTGGAGGTGTCAGTTTGGTTCGGGAGACTGCGAAACGGCGATCACCTGCCCCCCGCCCAAGAGTTGGCTCCTATACCGTCACCCATCCTTCAAACCCTCAAATCGCTCAAGTCGCACCAATCACTTCGAACCAATCGCCCAGTCACACCCTTCCAATCGCCCAGCCAATCACCAAGTCGAACCAAACGCCAAAGCCGCACACCCTCAAACCCTTGAAGTCCCCTGGGTCGTTCGCCGCACCGAGTTCCAGTTCACCACGTCGACGTGCACCGAGCTGGGCGTCGGGGTGCCAAAGCTGGGCGTAGGACCGTGGTCGGGATCTGGTCGAAAGGCTGGACAGATCCCCTATAAGATCGAAGAGTCCAAAGCTCCCACAAATCCCCAAAACGGCCCTTGATCAGGGGGGGTCTGAACTTCTTAGTGGGGGTCAACCCCCCCCAAATCATGACCTAATCCAGCCGATCCAGCTTTCTGAAAAGCACTTGAAGCGCGCGCTCGCGCGCGTCTGGCGCGCGCTTTTTGCAGGCGCCTCCAGCGCGGAGTTGGGGCAAAACACCAGGATGTTCCTCCCAGGACCGGGTCATGCGGATCATCAAGACCGGGTCAGTTGGGCCCCACCAAAACACGTCAAGAAGGCACAAGCTTCTTGGGAGATCCGGAAAAAAATAGAGGAAAACCAGATCGTCCATCTTTCGTATTTTCAGGCCCAAGTTCAGATTCTTCTACCAGTTGAGAACCTCACAAATGGTCCATCGGCCCATTGGACTCCCCACGAGGTCCGGAACCACGCCGAACCGCCACGCACCGCTCTCCTGGCATTCACATCTCGATGCATGGCAATGCCTGGCGGGTTTCCGGTGCGAATGTCACCCGAGGCGGAGCCGGAGCCGGCCAAACGGATGGGGAAGCTCCAAGGAACTGGCTTTAGTATTTGAGGGGAACCTCCTAAGGGCGAGGTGGAGGTGGATGATCTTCTGATGTGAGGGGAAGGTGGCCTTTCCAGGTCGCCCTCTTCTAACACACCCAGCCTTTCTGCGGGCCCTTGTGTCTTCAAGCTGATCAGCTGGGGACGGACTGGACAGCACCGGATCCGCGGACACTTCGGCTCGAGCGAATGACATCGGAGTCCGGCAGGCGGACGGCACGAGCAGCGTAGACAGGCGGACGAGGCCAAACTCGTTGGGTTCAGACCCAAGGGAGTAGTTTGTTGGTACCTGCTACGAGTATTGTGTAGGTACCTGCAGTAAATATGTCATGAAGTATGGTGTACGTACCAACAAACTCTACAGTTGATGTTTTATTACACTCTGACTCACTAACAGTGGGAAGCCCACTGTTGGTAAAGGAAAGTAGTCTTCCAAGGGACCATGTTCCACTTCCATGTTATTGAGTCAGAGTCAGAGTGTAACCAGTCTGACATCTCTCAAAAGTCTCCTGGCACTCTCCGTGTGACCTACGCAATAATTTAGTGGAAGGTGGTTGGCCATCTTCTCCCACCAGCTGGTTGACCATCTCCACAAGGTGCACGCAATACGGCCAACTCCTTTTCGTTGGGCATTGTGCGGCAGCTGGTTCCAACAGAATAGGCGAGGCTAGGCTAGACTGCTAGACCTCCTCCACCTTCCCCAACCTCTGGGCCGAGCCACTGTTCAGCTGTGCAAAGGTGGGTGCCAGCTGACTGAGGAGCTCCTGGCACTTTGGGAGTGAAGACAAACCGCATCCAAACCGCTCTGGCACGGTGTGCTGAGAGAGGGAGAAGGGGGGCATCTCAACTCAGAAGCACTGAAATCATCAGCAGCCACCGAGACTATTCAGAAGGGGCATCGGATCTCATGATCTCATCTCATCTATGGTTGGAGGGGAGGAAACTTAAGCTTCTTCTTCCCTCCAAAGCCATCCAAATATCAAGTGACTGAAGAATTTCGAGCCTTAAGTCTGTCGCTCACACATCAAAAACGGTTTGTGTGAGGGTGAAACCTCACCGGGGTGGGGCCCTCGGTTCTCAGACCGACTGCTTGAGCAGCCGCACGGTTCGCAGTTCCCTTTCTCAGCAGTCAGCTCGGCTCCACCGTTCGGATCCCCGGGAAGATCGGTGAACCATCTCTCTTGACCTGGTGCTTTCAGTGCGAATGGGCACCTAGGGAAGACCTTTGAAGGAGGAAAGCCGCCCATTGTCGTGATGGATGATATTCACTCAAACCCTCCCACCCTACAGACTCAAAGGCGACTGGGGAATTCCCAGTTTCGTGCCGTCTACTTGTACAAATTCTCCCAACATGCGCGCGAGTTCTTGCGAGAGTCCCTAGCAGTCCCTAGCCGAGAGTGCTGCGCGGAGAAAGTCCGAACAGTACCTGACGAGCCGTTCCAACGGAGGGTCAGAATCCGAAGGTTCGGCTATCCCAGTTGGGTACCCCAGGTGTTCCGGGTGGTCCCGGTCACTGGATACTTCTGTTGGTGATCTCTAAACACTCTGTCTCCGGAAATCCCCTTAGGAGTGAGAAGCGTGACCAAAGCACAGGTATTTGCGGGGGAGGAAGGCCCTGTCCGTTCATCCCAATAAAAACCACAGGTTTGAACACTGACTGAGGCACTCATCATTGTTGCTGAAAAGAAACACCTTTGTTACCAGAAGAACATCCTGCACCACCTCGAAGACAGTATAATTACTTAGCTGTCCCCATTCACTGGCTGCTTCCAGGTTCTCTTTCCACACCCACAGCGTGGATCGGCTCCATGCAGCGATCGGAACGACGTCTGGGCACGAGGTGGTGCTGGCCGCGGGCGAGCTGCAAACGCTACGCTCCTGCCCAGTGACGCGGCGCTCGGCCAAAAACAGCACGAAAATTCCAACCGGACTCCGTCAGTCTTCCCTCGAAAATGCAGAGGTTCATCTTCATCCTGTTGGATTTGAGTGGGAGAAACAATTCCCAAAAAGGTTTTGCAGTTTGTCCACTTTTCCTATGGAGTCCAAGAAACAAACGCAAACGAACATGCTGACCCTTTGGACGGTTGGCATCCTCGCTCTTTGGGCGGGTGGCGCAATGGGAAGGTCAGGACTCACTGAATTCATGCCCTGTAAATGGAAGTGCTGTGCTAACGGTCTGTGGCTTCAGAATATTCTAGGCACCAGGGTCGTCCAGTGGATGGTCGTACTTTCGAAAGCTACGTCTTGTCGTCAGTCAAACTGCCATCCCCCATCTATGTTTCTCTTGATTCCGCATCACCCACCAATTCTCCCAGGACCAAAAAAATGGTGCAAAGGTGCACCCCCAACAGCCCGGATGTGGACTGTTCGGACTCTCTTTTAGGCACTCTCCTCCAGCCACGAGATCAATGCTTGCCCCGGTCGCCGGGTCATCGCCACCTGGTACGCCGCTCCATGTCTGACCGGCGCGGAGGGCGAAGATGCTCCGCTGGAGGACTGGATTTTCGCCCTTGCGCGGCTCCACGTCTTTCGGAAGACCTGTTGTGGTCCGCCCACAAAAAAGGAGCCCGGCTCCATGCTTTGGCCACACCCGTACTTCTTTGCCCAAAATATTGGTTCCCTGCAGCCGGCACACAGCCAGCGCTCCCTTCGACATATACAAATACAAATACTGTATTACTGTATGTGTAATATATCTCTGTGTGTATGTGTACATCCTACACCTCATGGATCCTGTCCAAAGGACAGCCACAAATATTGCTTCCTAAGCAACCGAAAGGCGTCTGAAGCACCACCAAGGCGACGACCCGCTCCATCCACTCGACACGGTCCCCACTGAGCGCTCCCAGCACGGCAGAGGAAGGCGCCGGGCTCCGCAGGGGCCAAGTCCCAAAACCTCGAGCCAAGGAGCCAAGGTGGTGGTCAAAAAGGATGTTTTCAGGCAAGCGGTCCGTGCTTTCGTTCTTGACATGGAATCGCATCAAAACAGCAGGAAAACGTGTTCAGGGTTACGAACTTGCCACCACCACATTTCTGTATTCTACGGAGGGCTGATCCACGGGGGTTCACAAGATATGATTTAGCCCTTGGAATCCCAAAAAACTGCCACTCAACCCAGATAGATTGCAGGAACTGTGACTCTGGTCCTATACTGATAGTGATTTTGCACAAACAAAAGAAAATGAAAAAGACTTAATGTAGACTCTTGATTAATAAACCCCTCATGTAAAGAGATGTTCAACCCAAATGGAAGGGTTTACTAATCACGAGTCTACATTATACATGTTGCAAACTACGCAGACTCTTGACATCTCTTGACATCCAAAACGGACATCTCTTGACATCCTTTCCGCGGAAAGACTCACGTTCACTCGGACATCGCGCCACAGTTTTCATTGGACATCTCCCCACCGCCAAACCCCGTCGTTTGGTTGCTGCGTGGCTGATGATCCAAGAACTTGGGCACCCGAAGTGCTTCACCTGCGCCAAACCAACCCGTTTTTGGAAAAGCGAAGCGCGTCCTTTTGGAGGTGTTGCGGTCCCTTGACCCCACACGAGGTGACGATGATGGCTTTGCTGCGTTGCTGGCTTTGCCTAACTAATTTGATTGAGGGAAGCCTTCTCCTGCGGCTGAACTGTGGTCACCTATGTTTGGATATTTGGTGCAGTGTTACAGCCGCCTCTGGACCTGGGGCACCAGACATGGCCACAGCTGGGATGCACATAAAGAGCTCTTGTCGGTACGAAGCTCTGCAGCTCCGCTCATGGAGAACAAAAGTGGATGCAAAACAAAGGAAACCAGATCCAAGAATCTATATATATATATATATCTCTTGACTTTCATAAGGCGAGGCCTGTGTCCAATCAAACGCTCCGGCCCTCAGTCGGTCTCATGGGGCCCCGTCGGAACCGTGCGAGGCGAACGTCGCGGCGCGGCGCCTTCCTCGCTGGGCTCCGACAGCAAGCGCATGACCTGCAGGAGGTGGTCACTGAGATCAGTCCAAGAGGAAGTCAAGAGGGCTGGAGGAGGTGTTCGATCTGCCCTTCCTTTTTTGAGGTTTTGAATCAGATTGAATCAGAAACCCTACAGCCCTATCAAGTCATTGTGCATTGATGGCAGGAGAGCACGAGGTTGGTTATCCGGAGCTGTGGTCCCTCTTCATAATGCACTGCCACCCCCTCTCACCTTTACCTCAGCCAACCTTGGCCAGTCGCAAACAGTCGCCAACGCCAACACAAAAGAGCTCCAATGATCCACCCCAAAACACGGCTGTGCCCAAAAAAATCCACCTTCTCCCCCCAGAAAGCCCCAGAAAGCCAAGGCCAAAAACCACCTTCTCCCCCTAGTGCCCCAGAAAGCCAAGGCCCTTCTTGGTCTGCTGGGAGAGGTTCCTCCGGCCGGCCTTCACTTCATAGTTCGCTCGCTGGAGGCTGGCATCGGGCAAGATCCCAGCGCCCTGTCCGCAGCGCATCTCCTTGATCGCCACCTACCGTGGAGACGAGGCACGGACCGGCTTCACCGGTGGGGGTGGGGGTTGGTAGAACCCCCAAAGCCCGGGGGGTTTGGGAGCCCAAAAGAGACTGAAACGGGTTGGTAGGGGGTGTTGCCCTAGAGGAAAATACATGCACAACTGGGGTCGATGAGGTTAACCAAGTTGCTTTTAGATCCTTGATGCATACGTTCCTGTCATTCCAAAGTGGGGATGAGCCTGCTCAAGGGCCGCGCCCCGCCCCTCCGGTCAGCAGTGTCCACCTCTGAGAAAACAATAAAGATTGGATAGAAAACTCAGATACAGCATCTGTCACCAGGAAGATGTTGACCATGAAATCCTCTACAGCCTCCGATGGTTGTTCACTTCCATGCTGATTCGAAGTGTCTCCGATATGGCAACTTTCCGGTCTGTCTCCGGTCTTGACCGGTGCACCTCCTGACCAGTCTCCTCACAAACAGCTCCAAAGACCTGCAGCGGATCCCACTCGCCCCGCGGTGCAGCGGATGAAGCTGGCGAGCTTCACCCGAGCTGGATCACCCGCACATGCCTTGAGGCCTTACCAAAAAGATCCAGAAAGAACATGTACATCGAGGGTGTCCCATTTGGCATAACTTTTGGCCTGTCCAAAAAGTCCATTCTCAAAGATTGATTTTCAAAGCCGATCATCTGGATCTACAAACATCAGTAGACATCGCCGGTCTGCTTCTCCATCCGCCATGCTTCCTGTTTGGCCACTGGAGCCGAGTCCGGTACCCGCGCATAAGCTCCCTCTCCGATGGCCTTGGTTGTCGCAGGGTCTGATCGCTGTTCAAGATGCTCTTCAAGGCTAGCGGCTACGCCTCTTCACGCGATGGTCAATGGTTTCTTCTGGCAGCTTGTTCCGCATGAGACTTCTGCACTTTGGGTTCATCGGTTTGGTGAGTGACATCAGTGACATCTCTTGTCCTTCGGCTTTGGCTCATGTAGATAGATATTGCCAGGAGAATACTGCACGCATAGTTCACACTAGATCTCGGCCTCAGGGTGATGGAACCAGGACTACTGACGACTCTTCCTGGTCAAGCATGGATGCCATATGAGACTTGCTGAAGAGACACTGTAACCAGGGAGGTTGTCGGAGTGGGATCTTTCTTGTTGATCTTTGTATGTGGTTTGAGAGGTCAATCGGTCAATCTATACAAGAATGTATGTTCCCCACTCATCATGCAACTCCACCCCGAAGCAGATGCTCCCATCAAAAACAGTGCTTGCCAGATCCTTACTGCTCTCATCTGTTCAAACTCCTTGACTGGTTTGTCAAAACTCTCACCATTTGTCAAAATGCTTCCTTGTCCCCACTCCAGTGCGACGGTCGAGGCTCCTCCGGCTCCTCCTCCCCGGGTCATTTGAGCTACGAGCGTCGCGTTCGGACGCTGTGCTCGGTGGAGGCCATCGAAAGTAGGTTGGAGGCCATTACTACTAGTAGCAAGAAGCTACTTGGCTCGGCTTCCCGGCCAAGCCAACCCGCAAAGGCCGCTGGCCCACCGTCACCAACTCGGGGCTTCCGGGCGCCCGCGTCGCGCGTGGACGAGTCTGGAAGGGTCAAGGCTGGTGGGATCTGGTAGGAGCAGGAGAGGTTCCAAAAGATCTATGATTCATTCTCATTCCATGCTCTACTTAAATCACAGCAATGAGCTCGTTTTTTTTTCGATCTGGGACATCAGACTAATAAAAGGGGGGGGGGGGGGGGGGGGGGGCTCGAAGATTTGCGACAGACTCCCCAACCGATCGCCCTGGTCACCCCTCCTGGTCAGTCCGGATTCGCAACACCTTCGAGTAGTGGTGAACTGATCGAATCAGCTCGGACGGGATCTCTTCAGACAGCCCTGAGGTTCGTGGCAGCCGCGACCCCCCCGTCACGGTTCCACAGGTTTTTTGGCCACTCGAATTCGCAAATGAGAAGACCTACACCACTTAGATCTACTCAGGGCACCTGCCTACTTAGGCCTAGGCCACCTAACCGCCCAAACACGTGAGGAAACGGGCCCATCTTTGGACAGGATCGGATGCAAAGATCGTCGATCGGATTCCTCCAAAGGGAGACTCCCCCCAAGCGGCTCCGTTTGCATCTCCTAGCAGTTCAGTTTCAGATCAGTTTCAGTGCTCGGTGTCGGTTTCACTCTCAGACCTCTAGGTTTTCGGAGGGACGTTCCGCAGTCTTCCTTGAGTTTATACTGAAAGGCTGCCATCCGCGACCTGTGGGGATTCGCTGTCTCCACCACGGATGGTCTCCACGCCTGCCCCTCCTGCAAGGGCAGCGGTTCCTTCGGCAGAACAGGTGGCTGCCAGCGGAACTCCTGGCCGCGGCACGAATGAGCGGCAAGGGACGGGCCGACCAGAGGATCTTCACGTGAACGACGCGTAACAGTGCCGGACTGGTGCATAAGTGAAACAAAAAAGGGAAGCTCTTCCAAAAACACCTGGCCACTGGCAGAAATGAGGAACATGTTAGCTAGGGAACTCGCAGAAATGAGGACATGAGGACAGTGCGAAAAGAAGGGGAATGCTTTTGGGGGAGTGTTGAAATCAACATTGACCTTTTAGGAATTCCACGAAAAGAAATGGTTGGTGCGTTTCTCTCCCGTGTTTTCATGGTCTGTGGTCGATGGTCCTCGGTTTTCCATTGGGGCCGATCGATGAGAAAATTCTCTACCAATGCCATCCTGCTGTCCTTTGGGGAAGACTAGAGGGGTCGATGCCACCATATAGCTACTAGCACATTGGTTGTTCACCTGAGGGCATCCCCTATGAATCAACCAACCAACAGGCAAAGGCCATTGATGTTCCCTACACCTACACAGTCTTTGTAGAGTTTCTGACTGTTATTGACAGATCACCGCCAGCCAACTGGCATATAGGTATGCCTGAGCACTCCCAACCGATGCCTTTTCAGCAGGTTTTTCCTGTTACAGGACTGGCTTTCTGTTACACTGTTACACATCTAAGCATGGCCCTGCATGGCCCTGCATGGCTGACACATCATTCGATTCGCAGTTCCAATGTTGCTACATCCCAGATATACCAAGCGTCATGGTCTTCGGCCTGTCGAAGATGACCATTTAAATCATTTATATAAGGGATTTGCAAGCTTGCTACACCAGGTCTCTCACCAATTGGTATGCTATTTTCATCAAACCAATCGACTACTGTACTTGGAGCCCTTGACACCTGGACTCCTCTTCCAAAAGGCTTTCAAACAGCCAACGAACAGGTCCGCTGGACAGCGCCCGCATCTTTTTTCTGCGATTTCACCGCGGGTCATTTGGCTACTTTTGCTTCCACCTGCAGCGTGAAAACAAGGCATGCAGGTTGGGTTTGTTGGATTGTCAGCACATCGAACGAACTGCTCAGAGAACGATGGAGTGATTGAGAGTCCTCTTGAGTCCAGTGAATGAAGAAAAATCTAAGGCATCGCACCTTGTCGAATGCTGCTTGGCTGCAGACAATCTTCTCCTTTATGTCCTTAACACGGACGCCCTTCTCCCTCATCCCTCGGACGCAACAGCGTGCACTTCCTCAATACGATCAATACTTCGGTCATTTGGAACAGGCTCTCAATTCAACACCCAATGCGCCCAACGTACTCGAAGAACTTCTTCGAAGAAGCCCGGGTCTGCTTCGGATCCCAGCTCAAGCAGCACTAAATTCACTACACTCAGTCAATCTCAATCATGGTTGCGTGGACGGCCCCCGATCTCCGATGATCCTTTTCAATTCATCCGAAGACCATTTCCAGGTGGTTTTCACTCCACGTCCACCGATGATTTCACTACGAAATCAGGAGACCAAAGGATTTCCAGCACCGCGCGGCAGGGAGTTCTGCCGTGGCCAGGAGCTCGAGCAAGGCCTCCGGGTCGTCGGAGGCCAAGAGCATCTTCGCCGAGGTCGCGGTCATGAAGCCTGTGGCAAAGCGGAAGACTGGGGGACGTTGAGGACGTGGAGGACGGATGGCGAGGGCGTGGATGGTATGGAAAGGAGATAGAGAGGAGATGTTGCGACAAGCGTCGCAAAAGTAGGTCGGAGTCTCGAAAAGCAACCAAGAGCTGAGTTGCATGTCTTTGCATCAAAAGGCTTGCTGACCTAGCTCCTGGGCTTTCTGGCTCTTCCTCACATTCCAGTCACCCAACTCACCCAACATCTGCCCCAGAATTGCCAATCCGATGACCCCGTCCCAGTCCTTCTTGACAGGCTTTCTCAGCCCATAAAAGCAAATGGTCCCAGTATCCAGCTCGATTCAGCAGACCGACGGGCTTCAAGTGGATGTTCAGCCTCGTCGACCAGCCGAAGGCGACCAGCCATACAGGTCCGATCCGGATCCTCCGGAGGTTCTGCGGAGCGGGGCTTCGGCGGAGTTGTTGAACAGAAGCCGCCCCTGAGAACCACCCAAGAGGTCGAGAATCACCCGCCCTGGTGAAAGTTTCGGTCGACATCTCTGCAGTTGGCTGCCAGACCTTCTTTGAAAGATGATCATGATGACGTGGATGATCATGATGACGTGGATGATCATGAGGACGTGGATGATCATGAGGACGTGGATGCTACAGTCATGCCGTCCTTGCGTGCTCTTCTCAAACCCTGAGTTTGGAGGTCTGGCAGGGCTGATGGGGCTGGTCTGTCGTCTTTTTGGCTTCGCAACCCTTTCTTGCTAAAGTGGATCTTTTTGCCCAAAACCTTCACCTTCACTGTGTTTCGTCTGCGACTCGACTGCCCTGTGAGACGACTCGTTTCGAGTGCCCCACACCCTGTGTCTGCCATGAAGTCTGTCGCCGTCTGGCCAAGAAGTCAACACATCCCCGGTTTTGAAGAGGCCTGGATCTTCTGAGCTCGGAGAGACCCCAAGAGAGACCCCTCCAACCCTCCAGCTCTCAACAAAGAAACGCCCTGTTCGGAAGCCCAACCCCCTGTTCGACCCCTAAGACCCTACAAAACGTGGGGATCCCTGGTAAATCCTTTGCAAGTCCAGACGCTGCGTCCAGGTGGTGACCTCAGCGATCTCATCCAAGGTCCCCCAGCCACCCGGTAAGGCGATGAATCCATCCGCCAACGACGCCATCAAGGCTTTCCTGGCCCGCACCGAGGCGCTTCGACGACCGAGGCTAAGAACCCGGGTCCCGAAAGAGGAGAGGCCTCGGGGAGACGCCCGGGTGCGGCAGAAGCGAAAGACCCCCATGTGGTGGAGCCAGCCAAGCTTACCTCTCTGCAAAAGCACAAGGATCTTCCGTAAACGACAAATGGCTGAGTGGCCTCACGGGCTCGTCCGTGGATCGTCCGGCCTCTCATGCATCGTGTCCACCACCCGAAGTGAAGTGCATCCTTGATGCGCCTGCTCCAACTCCACCATATCCCTGCAGCGAAGAAAACAACTGCGGCACTGAAGCCAGTATTTTTATTATCTAGGGTTCGGCTTCCTAATGGGTCGAAGAAAGGTTGAGATCCCAGAACTGCCGTGTCTTTTGCAACTGTTCCTCCGTGAATGTCTGTTGCTGTGGGTGGTTTTATGGACACTCTCCCCTTTCAATCATCACGTTCTACGTAACAAGCCGCTACATGGTCATTGAGCAACAAGTAAACGAATGTCCTTTCAACTGGCAAGTTTGGTGGGAGCCAGGCGCGAAGCAAGACATCACCAAAACGTCTCACTGTGACATTCCCAAGTCCGAAGCTCCAAAGCTCCCAAAAATGGGCCATGCAACACCTAGCTCCTCGACTCAATCGCCTTTTTCTCGCCTAAATAGCCTTGGCCCTTGAGACCCACGGCACGTTCGAAGCGCCGCGTCCGAAGGGTCGCGCCGCCCGTCCTGGGGATCACGCCGATGACCTCGCCCTCATGGGCCAGCACGGCATCGGCCACAGCACCCATGAGGCCCACCTGGGCCGGTCGGGACCAGCAAAAAGGGAGGCGTTCACATGGAACACCTGGGAACACCTGGTGTCAGAGCTCACCACGGTTCCACCTCCCCCTAGTTTCAGAGTTGAACACGGGTGCTTCACCTGGAAAAGACCTGCTCCGAGTGTCAGGGTTGATGCCATGGCGCACTGCAGCTTTTTGGGGGGAGGGCTTCCTGGCCACCAAACAGCTTCCCCCCAGATGTCACTTCTAGGTCAAGGACCTACACCCTGAATCAGGGAAACCCTCTGCTTGTGCTTGTGGAAGGAAAAATCGTCTTCCCAGGATCTGGCCATGCCCTCCCTTTAGGACATGAGTCGGAGGCTTTACTTGGAAGACACACCGGCTTCCCACACAGCCCTCAGATCCGTACCCGCCCGGCCTTGCCACCGCCAAAGACCAGCCCAATCTTTCTCTTGGCCAGGGTCTCCCCCAAGGTGCTGGCCAAGCGCAAGTACCTCACCGAAGTTGGCGCGCGCGCAAGAGTGGTCCATGGGCCGTGGGCTACTTCCAAGCCCAATCGTTGAGACATTGGGGTGCCCCTTCGGATGAGTCTGGCCCCAAGCAATTTGTGAGTCAAACAAGTCTTGAGCCAGCATCCCTAAAACCATCAGGGTCACAAGAACATCTTGAACTCAGCGACCACATCAACATCTTTGATCCCCCAACACCAATCAAGCACACCGAACACCGCCCATGTCACTAATATCCAGCCGCCCAGACCGGTCCTTCCCAGCTGCCCAGACCGGTCCTTCCCGTCCAACGACCTCGGACCAAGGAGCTCCTCGCTGACCTTGGAGCTGCTGCCCCCATAGACGCAAAGCCGCTGGAAGCGGCGGCCTGGCTCCTCGGTGCGGGGGTGGCTGGCGGGCGCCGCTGGGTGTCCTAGCGACTTGAGGTCTTGGGAGGGCGACCTGAAGATCCAAGGGACGACAACTCTCAAAGCTTGGTTGAGGTGACCAAATCGGAACTTCAACCCAGCTGGGAGGAGTCTTCGCAAATAGAATTACTGGAGTTCTCTTGGCATTGCAAAGGTCATGTTTGTGTATGGTGTCTAAGCCATTTCAGGATTTATCTCTGAACGGTCATTGTCCAAGAACGAGCTCGGGTACAATCTGCCTTGAACATTTGCTCCACTGCGCACTTGGAGTGCCAGAACGGATACTTGATATATCTTCAGAATCATATTTGGTCTGCCACACCACTGGGACATCCTGAGACATCCTGGGAAGTCCGGTGGTTGAAACATCTCAATCCAACGAGGAGCCCCATCCACACTGAAACGTGCGGGAAGCATACTCGCCGATGTTTGGCGAGTGCACGTATCTATACAAACTGTTCAAGTCAATTATCACTTCCACGAACCTTGGCAATCAGGATGGTCCTCCAACCAGGGAAAGTTAGGGTCTCATGCAAGCTTGCGCTCTTCAAGAACACCGCGTGATCAAGCAAACAAGAGACTCTGCTCATGGCAGCCGCTCAAGGGCTATGGCAGCTCCAGAGTATGGCTCGGCCCGATTTGGTCGCGCGGGCTGGGTTCACAAAGGCATGAGCCAAGCACGGTGTCATGCGAACACAACTTGACTTGATTGGATTTCTTTGTGGCATGTCAGCATGTCCATGCAGCTGGCCCATTCCATGACAAATGAAAAAAATGAAGAGCCAGAAGCTCAGGTAGATGCATCTCAAGGAATTCCGTTCCTTGGTACCTTCCTTTCTTCCCTTTCAGATAGAACTGAGGATGCACATGATCTCTAGCAGGTTCTGGTCGTTGTACCATTTTTCAGACACTGTATAGTGTCACAAATCACCTTGCTCAAGTGAGTACAGTCGGACTGAGGAACATGCGCCCTGTGAGTTCGAGCCCTGCAGGGGCCGCTGGTCTTTCCAAAAAAGGATCCCCCAGGCCCATCCAGGCACCACCAACACGGGTACTTTTGCCCATCCTCTTGGTCACCCTCATCATCCGCCGGCCCGAGAGAAAACTGAGAAAAAGAAGCTGACGATGGCCCGAGGACTCATGGTGCTCGGCGCCGCCTGTGCCCTGGTCTCCGGGCGTTTGTCCACCCTCGGCTGTTTGCTTGGCCGTGCTTGGCTTGGCTTGGGAAGAGGGAAGAGTCAAATTTTGCCCTGGAAGCTTGGGAGGATGATACAAGAAGTTCAAGTACTCGAGGGCCACCTAGCAGGACTTGCCTGCAAACACAAAGCCTAGGCTGACGATCCCTGCCTGTTTGAGCAGTGCGTGTCCCCGGGCAGCTCCCCATCTCAAGACATCCACCTGGGCATCCGGGCCAAACCTCAGGAAGATGCGCCGCACTTGGCCTCTTTTGGACTGGCACTGGCGCCACCGGGAGCACCGGATGCCTGAGGAGCAGGCGTCGTTTCACCGCTGGTGAGTGTAGGTAACACGACGGAGGAAGAAAGGAATACTATTGGAGATGCAAAACCATTCTGGGTCGGGGGGTTTACAGTAATTCCTATTCCGTTCTTGTTTAGTGGGGAAACCAATTCCCAAAAGAACTTCAAGAATATCCTGTGACCGGGTAGGAAACTCAGCCAGCGACGCAAAGACCCATCGCTGCGCCGGCTGCGGGCTGCCAACACGCATGAAGGGCGTGCCCTGCACTTGCAACACTCAGACTGAGTCTTTCAATCCCATGTTCACAAAGAGTTATGTCCTCATGTCACCCTTTTAGATATAAAGTTTCTTGTGGTTGTTTCTCTCACTGGTTGAGCAAAATAACATTGAAGAAAAAAACACCAAACACTTTAGCAAGCTGTCTCTTCTCTTTTCCGTGCGCTGCCTGGTTCCGTCGCACAGGTGAAGCCAGCCGAGCAGGGGAGAAGGTTCGAGTGAACTGTGTCCTGCGCTTGGATGGACCGCTCTCATGATCTCATGGTAGACCAAGCTTTGGAAAACGAGTGACTTCACTCATTCTCCAAGCCAAGGTCCCTCGATCTCGAAGCACGTGGGCTCGAAAGTTCGGTCCAAAACACACAGCGCACGCTGTTCAGTAAGCGGTGGATCCCCGGAGATCTGCAGAGTTCGCGGTAACCACTATAGCAAAAGCAACGACCCCAAATAGCAAAAGTGCACTTCTGGCATTCTTCCACTTGAAGTAACAACAGCTCTCGCGCTCTCGCTCTCTCTGGTGAAAAACGAGCTGTTTTGGTGCAAGACCACAAATAGACCCGAAAAGGACGAAAACGATTCTCTGACCGCTTTGGGTTCCCAACTTCTCCACACCCGGCTGCTCCTCTGCTCACTCACCGGCGCCGGCACACCAGCCGGCACAGCAACCGGCACTGAGGCCGGCACTGAGGCCGGCACCGGAGCTGGCACCGGAGCTGGCACCGGGGCTGGCACCGGGGCAGGTGCTGCAGGTGTCACCTGGCGTTGGTAGACAAGGCAGAAGGATCTAAATTGCAAAAACCAGAGACCGAAGAAAAACAGGTCATGGGCAGAACAGCGGGGTGTATTGTTTTTGGGTGGGTCATCGACCACCCAGCACTTGTCAGCCAAATCCAATCCTCTTGGCAAGACTTCGCCCTCCCAAAATCCCATCCCGGCACAGCGGCCACCGGGGGCTTCGGAGCAGCTCCGACGGGGATTCGGATCAGCCGCAACAGCGCTCCAATGTCCAAATGTGGAGGACAACCCAAGTGGTGCACTTTCAGCCCCCCCATCGCCGGTCCCGTCCCCGGCCGTCGTGTGGCTGGCCGTTGAGGGGTGGACGGCCTACCCCGCGCGCCTTCATTTGCGGATCCATGGGGAGCAAGGGCGCCCGCAGCGCGGCACCCGGGAAGACGATGCCCCTCACCCACGAGGCGTGCCAGGTGGCAGGGAACACGGACGACACGGCCATCCACAAAGGGAAGGCGAACCGAGGGCGGCGGGTGACCGGACACTTCACCAGGCTTGGTCCAACACTTCCCATGAGGATGAAAATGTGACTTGTGGACCCTGGCCGTGGACGAACGGGGTGGGCCTGCAGGCATGTCCCTATAGTGGTTATTCTGATTCTTGTGTGGTTACACTGCAACCATCATAACCCCCATCTGCACCTTTCTGTTTGGGCAACCTCCACCGCAACCCACCCACCCTCCAGACCCACGATCCACCCACTCCGCCCTCTGTTGCCTGACATGGAGGGGCGAACCTTGCCTGGTCCGTGCCGTCGGTTCGGCGGTTCGCCGTGCTTGTAAACACCGCTTCGGTCACCCAAATCAGCCCGTTGGAACAAGCAAGACTGGCAGTTGTCGACCATCGCATTGCTTTTCTGGATCGAAGCATCCAAACGGTCTTCACTAAAGAAATGAAGCCAAATTGGGTAGGGTCCCAAAGAAACGAAGGAAGACTTCCCAGTGACCATACAAAAGGCTCCCATGAGCCACGTTATACCGTCCACCTCTTTGAATGATTTCAACGTGACAGTGTCGAAGTCGGAACAGGTGGAGATGACTGGAGTTCGTCCTGGCTTTTGCACTGCTGCCGTTCACCGGAGAAAACCCCGCAGCTGTACGATGGCCTCTGATGATGTCTACCTGGAAGCACCCCCCGACCGGTCGCAGTCCGGGCCCAGAAAGATCCGGCCCGACCGTCCTTCGGCCCCATCCCCACCCCGACCCGTCGGCCTCACAGGTCGTGGGGGGGAGAAGGATCGCAACGTCACTCCTCGACGTGGCGAGGCACCGGGGAGTCGCAAGGGTCCGGCGCGAGGACGGCGATGGCTCGGGTGGTCCGGGGAATTTTCGTCACCGGTCCGGTGGCTCGGGGCGTTGTTTGTTCGTCTTCTGTTCTGTGAAAGTTGGAGGGTGGAATTGTCACGTTGAACTGGTCTTCTGTTTCGAAGTCTCATCCCTTGAAACCCCCAAGCACTGATGATCCAATGTCTAACTGTCAACCAGTGATTTTCCAGGAAGAACCAAAACCAACAGCAACTTGGAAGATGAAAAGAACGGGCCCTCGGTGGACATCCCAAAAATAGCAACGGAAAGCGAGCAAAAGCTTTCCTACAAAGCTTCAACTACCAAAGTTTGGCTGTCAGGCTTCTCTGAACCAAGAAAGACTGGGAGGCGTTGCTGACCAACTTTTCTTCTGGATTGGGCTGCGTTGATCAGCACGCTGCGAACGGGCAGAAAGGCATCAACTCTTGGAGCGCCGTGTGAAAATCGACGACGTCAACACTGTGAAAACCTTCAAGCCATTGGTGCAAAACAACTTACCCTCGGATTCCAACCATCATTCACTTAATAGGCTTTACCGAACAGCCCTTGTTTTACCAAGCATTCTACACTACAAAAACCAGGTCGAACGGAAGGCCAGGGCATCGATCTATGCTGCTTCTTCCTCCCCAAACTGTTGGGCAGCAATGGGCCTCGCTGACGGATGGGGGAGGCCCAGCGCATGGGCAAGGGAGATGCCGCTGCACCTGGGCATCTGGTGCTCTTGGGGGCAGAAGTCATGGTCCCTTGACAGTAGGTCTACCCCCCCAAAAAACCATGCACAGTGCAGAAAGAGGCTTGACAGGGTCGGAGTTCAGAAAGTGAATTCTCGACCAAGAAACAGATGCCTTATAGCTGAATACCTGCAAGCATTACACCATGGAGTTCATAACAAACACCGTGGATGCACTAGACCAGCAACCGGAGTCTTAGAAAGAAGGGTATCTAAACTAAACTAGAAATTCTGAAAGCCTGAAAGTCCGCAGCTGGTAGCCGGGTTCGAGCTCAAAGGTAGTCTCTTTCTCTAATCCTGTGATTGCTTTGTTGGTGGCATGTGGCTGAAACAACGTGCTCGCACTCGCCACTGGCGACCAGGCATATTCCCATTCGGACGGCCCAAAAGGCGCACCAGAAACCCAAGGCCCTGAGGTCAACCCAAAAAAGCCTCACCTCTCCCGGTCTCTTCAAAAATGGTGACACCCTCACCAAGAGACGCTCCAGCCGCTGACCCGGCATGAGACCTCCAGTTTCGGTGGATGGCCATCCGCTGCTCGAACCCTGGAAGTGGTGAAGTAAGAAATCCTGGGGTTAGAGCCGGATTCGGAAACTAATCGGTCGGATTCTGAAACTAGGGTTCTGAAACTGGGGTTCTGAAACTAGGGTTCTGAAACTTGGATTCTGAAACTGGTATTCTGAAACTGGGGTTCTGAAACTAGGATTCTGAAACTGGGGTTCTGAAACTAGGAGTCTGAAACTGGGATTCTGAAACTTGTATTCTGAAACTGGAAAGTCAGATTCTGCAACTGGTATTCTGAAACTGGAAAGTCAAATTCTGCAACTGGTATTCTGAAACTGGAAAGTCAGATTCTGCAACTTGCCTTCTGAAACTTGCAACTGGTGATCTCCACATCATGCGATAGCGTGTGTGCCTGTGACATCACCTTCGAAGCACATCCAAACCAACGTCATTAGCCCCCCACCCAACCCCCCCACCCCCCAACCCCCCCTTGTCCCCATCGTGTGAT